GACAAAAAAAAAAAAAAAAAAAAAAAAAAAACAAAAAACTCATATTGAAGAAAATAAAGCTAATTAAGATCAAATTAAAAAATAAATACAAGAAACTAATAGTGTTTATAAAGCTTGAAACATTTAAAAAAAAGCTCTTTATATTCAAAAAATTTTTATTTTTTATTTAAAAACTATAATTTATCAAACAAAGTACTTGGCTACTACTTATATTATAAAGCTTACAAATAAAGCTTTTGCTTCTCTAATTAAAAACTTAGAAAATAAATTTGCAGAACAAATTTTTTAAAAGAATAAAAATATTATAAAATGAATTTTTATTATTATTTTTTAGTTTAGTTTCTTGAATATATATTTTATTAGAAAATTTATTAATTTATATATAGTGTATAGACACAGATCTGCATAGTGAAGTAAACATAGTGTATAAACACAGGTCAACATAGTAATATATAATAAAAAAAATAAAATTTAATAATTATGATATAATCCTTGATCTAAAATAAATACCTACAACTAAAGGCCTGCATTGGGTTCCGCAGTCTGGTCCAGCCCAGCCCAGCCTGCAAATTTTTGCAAGCCAGACTTGAAGAAAATTTTATAATTGCAGGCTGGGCTGGGCCAAAAAATTTACAAAACTTTATAATTGCGAGCCAGTACGGGCCTGAAAATTTGTAAAATTATATAAGAAATTTTTGTGGGCTGGGCCAGGCCAGGCCAGGCTGAAGAAAAAAATTTAACATATGCGGGCCGGGCCAGGCTGGCAAAAAAAATAGTAACTCTAAATGTGGGCTAGGCTGGACCTAAAAAAAATTTTTAACTCTAATAGCAGACCAGGCTGGGCCTCAAAAATAGGCAATTTGCAGGCCTCTACCTACAACATAACTAAAAATTAACTTCTCTTAGCACTTGTTTGATAAATGTTTAATCATCTAAAATAAACGAACTTAATGAGCTTTTCTATGATAAGCAATATATATTTACTTCAATTTCATTTCTAGTTTCTGTAATTATTTCTACTCTATTTTTTATTCATGCTTTGTCTCAAATATCTTTTAACCAAATAATTTTACTAGCTTTATAAAATAATCTCGATATTAAACTCCATAACTGAATTAAATTATAAAACCCTATTTGTGATGATCAAAATACGTCTGCTTCGACTTTAACACAAGCTTCTGTAATTATTCCTATTTTATTTTTTATTCATGCCCAGTTTCAAATCTTAATTTCTTATCAAATAATTTACTAACCTTATAAAATAACTTTATTGTTAAACTTTATAACTAAATTAAATTATGAAAACACTATTTGTGATAATCAAAATGCATTTGCTTCAACTTTGATACAAGTTCTTGTGATTATTTATCAATTTTTTTTTGCTATTCTTATTTGATATTATGCTGTTTCTAAAGTTAACACTATTTTGAAGTTGCATCTAAAGTTGCAACTTCAGGTTAGTAATAACTTTAGAACAGCATATACATTATTCAACTAATAAACTATTATAATTGTTTAATGTTATAGTTTCATAAAGTGACAACCAATAGCAATATATTTGATAATGAATCAGATGGATCAGATGTTCATATGATTCTTTGGAATTGTTCTCAGGTCTTATCTTTCCCAACTGAGAAGAATTAAAGATGTGGTTAAATAGATTCGTATTAGAAAATGGATTTAATTATAAAGTTAGAACAAGTAAAGTAGCTAATAGTATAATAAAAAGGGCTATTTATAAATGTATTAAATCTGGTTCTCACATTCTACAGGTTACTTCAAACCCAACAAAGAGGCATAGCACATATTCTCAATATACACAATGCTTTTGGAAGCTCAATATTACTTGCTCAAAAACAAATTGCATTGTAAAAATTAATTCTTTTATTAATGAACACAATTATCAATTTACTTCAATGATATATGAAATAGCACCATGATTTCAAAAGTTGATAAATAGAATGCTAACTAATATAAAGAAATATATTGCCTAGAGTAGAATGAATTCAAGTTCTATTTATCTATTATTAAGACATGATTATTTGAATCAACCAATTTATAAGCAGGATTTGTATAATGCAGTTTATTAGTTTCATCAAAAAAATAGTTCAGAGAAGACAGATGCCTCTCAAATATTATAGCTATTACTAAACTAGAAGGATTTAGAGCCATTATAGGTTGTAAAGCCTCGGTTAAATCCAGTTTCAAGGCAATTAAGCTCTTTTTTTTTGAATATCACCTATTCAAAGAAAATTATATAGCAAATATAGTAATGTGGTTATAGTAGATACTACTTATAACACCAACCAATTTAAAATGTTGCTTTGTATTATAGCTATAATTGATAATAATTATAGAACTAGAATTGTTGCAAGTACTATAATTGAAAATAAAACACTAGATACTTACAGATGGATTTTTAATAATTTATTTACTGAGACAAATGTTTTACCTGGTGTCATATTTACTAATTCAGATTTTTCTATGATCAGATCAATCATGGATACTTTCTCTAATGTTCAACATCTCTTGTGTATTTTTCATATAAATATAAACCTTTAAAAAAAACTTAAAGATAAATTAGGTAATCAGTTTGAGGAATTTCATCTTAAGTTCTTTATATGTTGAAATTCTTTTTGTAAAGATCTATTTGAATGTCAGTGGAATTAATTAGTTAATCAGTATTCTGTAGCACTAAAATACTTGTCAGAAACACTCTATATTATCAAAAAATTATGAGCAGTATCTTGGATTTGTAAACATTTTATAGCTGGCATTCAAAGCTCACAAAGAGTAGAATCAATCAATAAAAATATTTATGACAAAGTTGATCGTTCTACATCACTATGCAACTTATTACTTAGCATCAAAGATTATGTAAAAAATAATGAGCATCTAGAAAAGTTTGACATTAAACAAAATGTCTTACCTGTAATTAGATTGCCAATATTAAATTCAAGGCTTTTTAGCCAAATAGATGCTATTATTAAAAATTTTCTAACATCTGTAATGCTCAACAAACAAAGGTTCCAAATGAATCAATCAGTTTTTATGATGTTAATTGAATTATACAGTAATAACAATTGATAAATATAAGTAATTATTTATAATTACAATTCTGTTACAATTTAGAATTATTACAGTTTGTAAAATTTTGTAAAGTTTGCATGTTATTAATAAAAAAAACAATTGCTTTCTGATTTCTAATTAATGTTAACAAACTTTTACAAATTTTGCAAACCACAATAAATTAATAATTTGAAAACTAATGTTTTATAATTTATAGACAAAGCTTGATAATGAAGAAATTAGTGTTAGTGTTAAAGAACAAGAGTAAGACATAAGGCAAATTCTTTTTAGTTTATTGGTTAGAACTATACTTCAAGATGCAATTTTAGAAGTATGAAATGTATATGCTATTGCAATCCAAGAAATAGACCATTATATAATACTGCTTAATAAAGGCACACATTTTTGCACATGTTTTCTGTTAGTTAATAAGAGGTTGTTATATCTGCACTTTTTCTGCATTGGAACTTATTCTCAATATGCTACTTTTCATATAAGTATGATTTCAAGTCAATGGTATTCAAATTCTAATATTAAATAGAATAATCTTTTACAATATTATCTACCTATTTTAGTATATAGTACAAAGTCAGATAATAATACAGTATTCAAAACAAGCATTAATTTTTAACATTTTTTTTTGATTTAAAACAATCTATTTGGTTCTCAAGCTTTAGTAAAATCAAATAAAATTCTTTATACAAAATTATTTGGGCTATCAAAAAAACTTATTGATTATACTATTAAAGCTAATTAGGAATATAAATTATTAAATACATTTAAGCAATTAATACATAATGCTCAGAACAAAAATCAAGAAACAGAAAATTATTTATCTAATATTAACAATCCTGTTGTTATTAGACAAAAAGGCTGACCTTCCAAGAGACTCAAAGCAAGTATTAATAATAGTAAGAATGCAAGTGAATAGAAATGCAATAAGTGTAAGCAATATGGGCACTATGCAAAAACTTGTTAATATGTAAATTAGTATCATTATAATGCATATCTAGTAATCTGTGTTATAGTTAAAAATAGTTTTAGCTTTAGCATTAGTATTATTACTAATTTTATTTAATTTCATTGTTATATTGATCAAAGCTTTAATTGCAAAATTGCTTGATTGTATATAGTGCATGTGAACTATTTTTGTATTTTTTTACTGGTTATTGTTAAGTATATATATATGTACATATGTATGTACAGTACATATCAGATATATATATATATACAGTACATGCAATATATTGTACAAAACAGGTATTTGATAACATGCAAAGCAAAACAATATGGAGTGAAGATTTAACCAACATATATCTATATATACATATATGAAGATCCAAATTTAGAATTGTACTTTTTTTGAATGATTAGGATTAGAGTAATTACTAGTACAGTATGTAGTAATCAAATTAGTAAAAATGTGAATATAGAGAAATAATTTTAGTTTCGAGAATTTTTCTCTTATAAACTATATGTGTTATTATACAGTAAATCTATAAGTTTTTATTTTTATGTTGTATTATACATATTATTAGTTAATTAGTAAATATTTTATAAATATAAAATAAATTTATTTTATTCGTTATTAATTTTTTAAAATCTGATTAGTCAATATACAATCATATAATATATGTATGTACACATAGTGTACAAATAGAAATACTCATTTTATTATTATTAATATTAGTTATTAGTATTATTAGTATTATTATTATTAGTTATATTAGTTAGTTAAAAAAGATAGAATAGATTAATTATATTATTTCTTAGATTGTAGGCTAATGCAAGCAAATTTGCCTGTGTTTTTGTATTTTTTTAGCTCTGATTTACTTTTTTAAAATCTTAAAATATATAAATAAAATTTGGTATAATAATATTTGAAAATAAGAATTACTTTTTTGCAGTATTTATTTTTAAAT